AAGTCGCAGGCTCGACAAAAACTAATAAAAATAAAAACTCTGACCACATGCACACCTTCAATATAATTATGTACAAACAGTCAGCAAAGTGAAAACTTCCTAGCTTTCAAACTGTAGGAGGAGTTATCCAGAAACGCTATGCACCTCTTATGCAAGTAAATACTCCAAAAAATGACAAAGTTCAACTCTCTCCGAAAAGAGAAATTATCAATAAAAATCAAAACCCCGACCACATGCACACCTTCAATATATTTTCAAACAGCCAGCAAAGTGAAAACTTCCTAGCATTCAAACTGTAGGAGTTCTCCACAAACACTATGCACCTCTTATGCAAGTAAATACTCCAAAAAATGACAAAGTTCAACTCTCTCCAAAAAGAGAAATTATCAATAAAAATCAAAACCCTGACCACATGAATACCTTCATTATATGTAAAAACAGCCAGCAAAGTGAATTCCTAGCATTCAAACTGTAGAGGAGTTATCTGGAATATATATCAGCTATATACCCATAAAGGGATTGACAGAGGGAAGGACTGAAGGACAGACGGATAGGGGTTAAACAATATGCCCCCAACTTTCAGTTGCGGGGGCATAATAAACTGCTTCGCTGAGCGCAGCTGGATACGCCCGCAGAGGTCCAACCATGAACAGTTGGGGCAAAAATGGACACAATATTCAAGCTTGATACAGGTCTGAATTTGGATTGTAATTAAAGATTTGACATATTATAGGTTTCTGAATAAATGTAGTCAAAGAACTTGAAATTGGTTATATGAATTGAATTTATATTCAATTAAAGATTTCTTGCTGTTGTGCAATACACTGTGCTGTTGCGCAATACTTAGTAAATCTGTTGTCAGACTATAAACAAATAAAGTTCAATTTCTTCTCGATGTCATATTTGAAATTTATGAAAATCAATAGGGAGATTACATCGATTCAATAGCTATAAATAATTCACCAAAGTTTCATGAGAACTGCTGAAAGCATTTTTGAGTTATTGTCCAAAAACTGGAAAATCCCCCCTTTTTTAATGAATAAAACCCTATAACTCAGAAATGTAAAATCTAAAATTTATAAAAATCCAAAAGGGAGCTTACATCAACAGATATAAACAATTCACCAAAGTTTCATGAGAACTGCTGAAAGCATTTTTTAGTTATTGTCCGAAAACTGGAAAATCCCCCTTTTTTTATGAATAAAACCCTGTAACTCGGAAACGTTCAATCTAAAATTTATAAAAATCCAAAAGGGAGCTCATGTCAATAGATATAAACAATTCAACAAAATTTCTTGCAAGTTGGTGAAAGCATTCTTGAGTCATTGTCGGAAAACTGGAAAATCCCCCCTTTTTTAATGAATAAAACCCCAAAACTCGGAAACGGTAAATCTGAAATTTGTAAAAACCGAAAGGGAGCTCACGTCAATAGATATAAACAATTCACCAAAGTTTCATGCATATTGGTTAAAGCTTTTTTTAGTTAATGCCCGACATGTTGACGACGGACGGACGGACAGACGGACGAATGGACGGACGGACGGACAGACGGTCAACGGTATACCACAATACGTCCTGTAAACGGGTGTATAAAAATGAGAAACGAGAAACACTTATGAACCACATCCACAAACGACAACTACTGAACATCAGATTCCTGACTTAGGACATGTGCAAACAAATGCAGCGGGTTTAAACGTTTTAATAGGTACCAACCTTCACCCTTATCTGAAACAATAGTGTAACATCACAACATAGAAAGATGCATACATTTTCATTGGAATGATAATGCACTCAAGCTTTAGTTTTTGTAGAAGTTGTATTTTGGTAAATATTCAAAACTTGCCCAAATCGATCAAAAATTTTCAGTCTAGACTATTCTTATAGGCATTTATAATCATGTACAAAACGTGTTAATGTCTGTGTCATTTGGTCTCTTGTGAAGAGTTGTCTCATTGGCAATCATACCACATCTTCTTTTTTATATTAGAAATCTGTCGTAATATTTTTAGAACCTCAAATTAGACATATGGAGCTGTGATCCTGTAAACTTTTGTAGGATAGTAAGACTTTCTTTTTCATTAGTCATTATATTAATTAATCAGTTGGAAATTGTAATTACCATTTATCCACAACTTTTATAAGAGTCGGGGCATTTAAGAGGGTGGTAAAGGGTTAGTTTCGTGCAACGTGTTTTGCCATTTTTATTTCACGTGCAGCCGTGAAAAAGGTTCGTTATTCACCGTGTTTCGTGAAATCGGTAAAAAGATCAACGTGCAAGAAATCTTTTAATTGTTCGTTCATCGTGAAATGGCAATTTTATTATACCCCCCCCCCCTTTACGCCCCTCATTTAAGAGCATGGCAAATTGTATAGACGATTTGTTGTTCGTCAGTGGTTGATAATTCCTGTTTTTTTTCGGATGAGTTGAATATTGGAATGGTTTGTTGTACTGTCCAAAAATCTTTTGAGAAGACTGTTCCCGTTTTATGTATTATCAGAGACGTCTCTGGTATTATGCAGAGACATATATACTAAATATTTATTATGGAAAATACAAGAAAATAAATGTATAATAAAGTAACAATGTTTTTCCTGTTTTTCATTATTTCGATTTCGATATTAAGATAACAACTGTCACCTAAAAGAACGACGACCTGAGCGATACTCTGATATTCACTGAAAATGTGTGTACCTGCCATAAGCCAAGAGCGTGTATATATCAGGTCAAAGGTGGTCATTTTCTTCGTGCTTAATATTTGTTCTTTAAAAATGATTTTCATTGGTTATATGGTATATGTATCAAATACGCAATTATCAAAGGACGGTAACGATTGTTCCCTTTTTAAAAATAGCAGAGTGTCAAGCTCTTAGCACAAACAAGTCTCCTACAGCATTATTTTTACAGAGGCTTAATTATCCCAACCTTCTCAACTCTCAACAGCATTGTGGCAGTCAAAATTTGTATTCCATCCCATTTCTACTTTTAATATTTGAACAAATAGTCCTGAAAATGCGTGAAATATTTGCCACTGGACAATAAGCAATCGAGCAATCATCAACCAATCAGACAATCATTCACAGGTTGGTATATTATCTTAAATCAGTATATGTATAAAAGACCACTTGAAACGTTAGATTCCCTGCCACTCTACAACGTCAATGGAAAAATAATAATGTAAATATATTTTTTTAAAGTAATCTGTACATAAAATATAATTTTGAACTCCAAAAGCAGGCATATACATATCAATTTTATTGCAAATAAGATTCATAAGCAGTAACCACATGTTAACATCCAATAAAATTAAGACCCAAATCTGAACAAAAAATATATCCTTCCATTGCTTTTTCGTCAGCAAGGAATCAGACTGCCAATGATAAGGGAAGCAACTCTTATGCAGCTCAAATAATTTCAGAATCCGTTGGAAATATGCAAGTGGTCCATTGTTTTCTTTGCCACTTTGATTGAGCAAGCTACAATTGCTCAAATGCACTCTGGGAAATAATTTCAAAAGTGTGCATCCAACTGTTGTGATTGGTTGACAATGTCTTAATCAATGACAGACTAGTTGAACTCATGACACTCATAGTAGCATGTTCCCTTTGATTGCAGAAGGGTTATATCCCGGACTGCTTTAAACCAACATTTGAAAAAATGGTATTTACTGCTTCTCTGCAAAGCATGCAGCATTTAGGAGTTGGAGCAAAGACTAATCAGCTCAGAGTCAGAATAATGTGTTCAAATAAAGGTGACATAGAACATTTTGAACTGGAAATTAGCGTTATCATCTAGTACAAAGCAGGTTTGCAATTCATATCATTTTCACATGTTCTATTCCTGAGAGAAACATATTCTTTGACATAAAAACTGACAATCCTTGTCTAACACACCTGCCATGTGTTGGTTTCAAACTCTCAACCTCACTGTTGACAGGCCAGATGTACTTGACAGTTCCAGACGATGGTGAATTTGGTATTAATGGCAGATCGTTGATATAAAAATAAGAAGATGTGGTATGATTTCCAATGAAATAACTTTTCATCAGAAGCCAACATGTAAAGAACTGTAGGTCTGTTTAATTAATTTTCATATTTAAGAATTTGGGAAATTAGACCATGAAATATTGTATTAACAAGGGTCTGACTGTTGAAGTTTGTATTGTTGACCTTTTGGGTTTGTATTGTTTCCCTTTTGGTTATTTGTGTTGTTGGTTTGTTGCCTCATTGACATATACATCTCCTTATATATTCCAATTGCAATTCTTTTAATGTGGAAACAATTTTCAAATATATTCACATTAATAAATGGTGAATGTGTCCATGGGACACAAATGATGCCCAAGCTTGCATATAACGTTATAAAGGGAAATAACTCAAGAAAGGTAAAAGTGACACTACCAAAATTTGTACTTGATCTCAGTTTCGTGGTAATGAGCATTGTGTATAAGTTTCATAACATTTGGTTGAGGCAAATTTAAGTTAGAGAACATAAACAAAAAATTCTGCAATTTTTCTATTTGTAAAAGGTAATTTAAACTTTGTCTGTGTTTTGTGGTAATAAGCATTGTGTATATGTTTCATAACATTTAGTTGAGGCAAAATTGAGCAATTTTTCCATTTGTAAAGGGACATAACTGTAGAATGGTAAAAGTGATGCCACCAAAATTCAAACTTGATCTGTGTTCTGTGGTAATAATCATTGTGTATAAGTTTCATAACATTTGGTTGAGGCAAACTAAAGTTATAGAATGGAAACTAATTTTGGGATGTACGGACGTTCAGACGGACTAGGGTAAAACTTAATGTCCCCTTTGCTACGGCGGGGGCATACAAATTTTGGTGATCTTTATATAAAACTGTACAATGACCAATGACCTTAGGAAGTTCATCTCCTTTTTCTACTTGTTCTTGTTTGGTTGCTGTCCCATTGTCGTTTACCACCACATTATTTCTGTATTTTCATTCTCAACAAAGCTAAATGAATTCACAACAAAATATTTCATTGTATAAAGATTTATTTCGTTTTTCTGTAAAAAATACAATAATTATGTACAAAATACCAACAAATTGTTTGTACAATTATTCAACATAAATAAAAATCGTACATTATCATTAAAACAACAACCATTTTCAACATTCATACTCTATGAGTTTGATTTAAAATGTATGCCCATTGCAGAGATCTTCTGCTGAAAGCACAAAAATAAGGGACATAACTCCGATGCAGATTTTAGATATCAATTTATCTTTTAAATCCCCAAAAAACTTTAAAGTCCATTTCATTTGTAAAATCTAAATCGAAACAAACAATTAGACGAGTATAAATTAAAATATTTAAAAACATAAAATTTATAAAATCGTTTTGAAGAAATTTTATGTTCTTAAAGCACTCTGGTTTAGACTTTTGATTCATTTTGGAAAAAAACTGTCAAAAACAATTGCACAACTATTTCTTTTAGTACTACAATAGCATTATTATGATAATTCATATTTTATAAATTAAAATGACAAATATTTGATGAAAATGCGATGAAAATGTTTATGATATGAGTAATGACTAGAGTATTTTCATTACCAAATAATATCTGGCTTATCTCCCTTTAACTTTAAAACATTTTGTCATAGTTACATTGAAATGCTTTGGAGTTTTCAGTTTAATCTAACCAAACAGCGATAATCAATTGAGAATTCCACTGAGCTTATTTAAACATTATCTGTTCTATTGGAAATTTTCAAGATCAAGTATGATAAAAATAATAATCCAACGGCCTGTAACTAAACAAATCGTTCTGTAAAAGTTAAAACAACAGGGATTTGATACATTACGCTGAATAAATATAGAAATACAGAGCATTTCGTTATTTTATACCTTGGTATCTAAACAGGATATCATTATACCCGTCAGAGATTTTTGAAGAAAAAAAGCCCTACACATTGTGTTTTTGTCCGAGTAAAACAAGATTCATAAATACAGAAATATTTTTGGACCATGATAAAATTTTAAAAATATTCCTGGAAGTTGTACCCTTAAGTTAAAACATTGCATTTTATATTAGTGACCCAAAAATCTGAAATCCATTTGTTTGTAGTTATGAAGAATTAAGTATTTCTGGTACAAAATTTCTATCAAAAGTTCCTGGTCCGTTTTTTAACTGGCCATGGGCCTGTTGACCCAACAAAAGGAGATACCAGAAATTAAAGATTCCAGACCTTCTTTCACACAAAAATATCTATGTAGCACTATTTTAAATCATAATGGGAATTCTTTTTTGGTCAACAATTCTACCAGTATAAGTCTACTCCTTTAGGAGAAGTGAACAGTCAATAAACAAAATTTAGATTTTGAACATTTTTTGTAGACTGCATAGTCCTTGAAATCTATTTCTAGAATTTTTACATTGACAAAGATACATGTACCAAGGGGAGACAATACAATTATTAAGATTTTGATAACCTGTTCATTCCCATTATTACGTGATAAATGATAAAAGATACAGAAGTCTCATTGTTTAGAGCCTTTGTCAATTCAGAAATGATTTAAAGAATAATTTAACATTTTTTTCTCCTGATATGATAGAGTTGTTGACCTGAATAAAGATTTCTACAGCTCAGTATTTTTTGTTTTCCATGCAAATGAAAAATCACAGTCATAACATTGAGACAACAAAGAGCACCGTCAATGTGCATGAAACACATTTTATTTTGATAAATAGAAATGTTGCTATGGTTACACAAGTTTCCATAGAAACATTTCTGAAAATGAGGCAGTTTGAATTGTAATATTTTGGCACCAAGGACTTAAATAACAACCATACAACAATAATTATACAATAACGTCAGAATTGAAAAACAAATTGTCTATTTCGTTAACTAGCTCGTCTGGATTTATTGTGTAACTTCCTGACGTTGTCGTACTGGCTCCGTCATCATCTCGCGTGGCTATACTGTCACTCATTGCATCAATATCTTGTATGGAGTATCTAAGTCCGTATGCACTGTGAGATGCCTCATCAAGAGTTTCTAAAGTTCTTCCATGGGATAAATTATTCCGTGAAGGAGTCTGAATAGCACTAATTCCACTTTGTGAAAAGTTTGGCAAATGTGTATTCATATATGAAGCCACTAGCGCCTCTTTTTGTCTGGCATATTTTGATTTTAATTCGTCAACTGTTGTATTAGCATTCACACTATCGTCACTGAAGCTAATATTACGAGGATAACTGTCTGATGATTTTGTTTTGATTGGCGTATCAAAACTGGAATGTAAAAGACTGGAGTTCTTAGAAGAATGGTTGCCCGATTTGTATGGCTCATCTGAAATAGAAGAAAGAAAATGCTAGAATTTCTTTATAACATATCATTTCAAATATATTTAATGAAAAAATGATGCCAAGCATACAAAATGTATATATATATAGCTCATCTTTTGAACAGTATATTTATTTGTATTTCTTAAGGAGCTGTTGGATTTATGCAAATGAGACAGCAACCCATAGACTAAAAAGGCTAATACCGTAGACACCAGAACATTCTGCACCAGCTTTGTTGCATGTAAAATTCGTTCATACTATAAACATACCTCATGTATTTTTTTTTAATACCTTATGACATCAATGCTAGCAAAATCATAAGATTGCTGAACTAATTAATGCTTGAATCCATTGCTTTTTGCCTTTCCACACATGTCAACATAATTACTACATGTAAAACATGTTACAAAGTTCACTTTTTTTCACCCAGAAATAGAAACAGCCATGCAGTATAATATTATTGTTATAAATTCCTTTGTACTACAAGTGGTTCATAGAAAACAGATTTCTTCCCATGATATGTACTTAAGTCATGAATTCTTGTACGAAAACCAACTATAAAGGCATTTACAGAAACCGTTAAACAAATTGTCAGAATAGTTTCACATAAAATATCATTCTTAGAGAGGCATATCAAAGACTTATTCACAACAGGAGACTAGAATACTCTTAGTAAATGCATGCTTTTGAATATCTCTGAAGATAAAATGAATCGTCTGACAGTTATGCACAACAAAGAGAATAAAAGGGTTTTTGTTAATTGCGAAGGAAATGTTAATTTATCAAAAATCATAAATCACACGGAAAAAAAAAGCGAAACAACATCAATCTGCATTATATAATTGTAAGTTGTAAATGATATTTTTCTCAAGAGGCAACTTCCGAAGACATCTTGAAATTTGGAAACAAGCATTTATTAATATTTAACATGCTTAAGTAATACTTTCTATATTTCACTAAATGTCTTTTGGTACACAAAACCCACAAGGCAATTAAAAGAGATGTAATTTGCATTATGATGAAAAATTTAAAATTCAGACACTGACATATGCTCAAAAGTTCTTTGTGCCCATCTGTTATATCAGACTATTTAAAGAGTTTTAGTGAAGCAAGACAGTTTGGCTGTCTTTCAATTCCTTAATTACAAAATGTATATTTCAAGGTGAATGAAAGTGACAAGTGTTCTAGGTTCATTAATGAGTTACTTAGCTTCAAAAATGTTGCCACCCAGATAAAAGGATAAAATAAATTAAGATTGAATGGGATTATTAGACAAAAACATACAACAGCCATGCCATCATACTTATCATTTTGATAATTGAACCTAATCTTTTTACATATCAATTTCAGTAGCAACTGATTTTATTATTTATTTTTGTCAGCTTAATTATGTTACATGAAATTAACAAGAATTCCAAATCTGTCAATCAAATTGCTTTTCTGACATACAGAAGCCATGTTCAGGGTTTTTGTTCTTTCAATGTCCAAAAATTGAATTAAAAAAATTGAAAAATGGTAAAGCATTTTTGGAAAAGGGAAAACAATATATATTTGAGGAATTTGGAAATAAAAGCCCCAGGTTTATCCCTAACCGACAATTTATTACTTAATAATTTTGTAAGACCTCTTTCAGTTTCTTTTAATTTTTCAAAAATGCTCAAGATTTGCCATGCAGATTAAAGAAGATTTGAACTTACTCCTTAAACATAGCATTGATAAAATACCACTGTAATAATCAAACAAATGATTCACAATTTTAAAGATCTATGATTTACTTAAAAATATCAGTAAATAAATAAAAACAACATTGGTTTTGTCATCTGTACTTATTTTATAGTATAAGTGTTTATAAAATGATTCATGTCCCAGATCATTAAGTTTGACGTTTATCTAAAATTTCTTACTTGATGACAAGATCATTATCATTTTATCACCAAAATAAAGATATTAACACCTATATGTAATAAGTAAAAATGTTTTAAGTTCTTTTATGAAATCGTAATATGTTGCAATTTTTCTAATTTTAAGTCTGGAACTTTTCTTTTTTAAAATTCCTTGCAATAAAAATAAAACTAATTTTGTTATATGAATTTCTCTTTTTAATATTAATGTTCCACTGTCGCCACCTTAGTTCATGCTATAAATGTTAAATTTATTGCGTCGTATGGTAATTTATTTATAAAATTTACATCATAAAGCAGCAACAAAAAACGACAGACATTGAAACATTTGGAAAATTAGAAAAAAATATTCAACCTTTTTTTTCATCCCAATAAATTTTCTAATAAATACCTATTTTTGTCACAAAGAACATATTAACGATTTTGAAATAACTTGCTCATTTTTCGTCCACCATTAAACACGGTCCCATTATGAACAGAAGATTTATATATTTTTGCTTGAAGGGGTCAAAGTTATTAAAATGTTTGATATCTCAATAACTTTCTAATAAAGTAAACGTCAAAAAATTTACAAATGAAAGAAAAAAGGGTCGGAAATTACAACATTATAAGTACTTTTAAAATGATGAATTGGTATTAAAATCATATACATCTGAACTTTAAAATTATTTCATTTTTATCACCTATTTAATATACGTGCTTAAATTGCACCAATTTGAATTTTTTAAACCAGCGTTAAAGATGACCGTTTTCATCTGAGTTTTATTAAAATAATGTTTAGTTGATCAATGAATACATGCAAAGGTCAATTACCTGTGTCACTGAAGGGGTGACCTCTGTTACTATTTATATCTTCTTCACTGCCCCCTCTTCCGCTATCACTTGTTGCCGATTCTGCAGAAGCTTCACTGTGTGCATCATCATTTTTATGAGGTAATAGTTGCATTTCTCTGGCCTAAAATACATAAATTCATAAATACAGATACTTATTTAGAGGTCAAAGTTTAAAATACTTCTATAGACATCAACCATGATTCAAACAGGGCTGTTCAATTTCTTTTTGTTCACCTCTTTAAAATTGATAATTTATAATCATTACAAAAGATAGTAGATTTTACAGCATTCAAAATCCTTTCCTTCATAAAAGTGTACTGATAGTTGAATTGCATGACTACCCCTTTAACAATTTTGCCTAAGGCAGTTTGTATAACAGCATGTTGTTAGAGATTATTTCAAACAAACATATCAGGTTAAATAATTCAATTTACAAAAGATACAAATTAATTTACATGATATACAAATCTTGAAAAAAAAAAGAATTAAAAGTTAATAAAAAAAAAAAAAAAAAAAAGAGATAATAGAAAAGGGGAAGTAACTCTAATATTTCTTTCACCTACGAAACTTAATATGTTGTGATAACATTATAGATGTCGAAAATGATTTGTGAAGATTTAGTAAAAGATTTAATTTCATTTTGAAGAAAAAAGTTTCTGAATTTCTTTAATATGTTATGATAATATTTATAGTGAAGATGACCTCTCTCTTTGACTAAAAAATTGCCGATGGTTATGTGAACAGTGCGTTTTCTATTCTTTATGGCAACAAAAAGAGTCGCTATGGCAAATCCATTGTTAAGAAATGTAAATAATTATTTCAAGTATAAAATCACTAATTCTGATCCCCATTTAAATCATCAAACATGACTACACTTAAATATCTATTTTCTCACAGCTCATCCTTGCCCACGGCTAAATATTCAACAGTAAAATGAAATAGTTAAAATATTATTTCATACGAACATTTTAAGTAAAACTTTTTACAATTTTTTTACTTTTGATGTTTTTACAATCTATTACCTCCTGGAAAGATTGAAAGCTTCTGACCAAACATGTTTACATAAATATTTTAATTATTGCACCTCATAATGAGCGTCTTATAACATTATTTTTTCTACACTGGTTGACTTGTTATTAAGAACAACTTAGAACTGGTATCTTGTAATACATTTATTGTATAAATGTAAAGCACTTTCTATTTAAAGCAGTGAAACTAGAGTATTTTGTCTTGACACTAAACTGACATGACCCACTGACACAATTCCCATCTTAACTTAAGTTTTCTTGGTCATATTTTGTGGACTTGCTTGTCTTTTCATTGTCTTTCGTTTTTTGCTATGGCGTTTTCAGTTTCTCCGACACAAGTTTTGAATTTTTCCTTGGTATCTTCTGTCAATTTTTTACATTTTGCAATTTTTCAGTGATGTTTTTTTAAAGGGCATAGGGGCAAAAATCCAATAAAATGTACAGCAAATGTTTCAAAACAGGTACAGGAAGAAAATTAAAACTGAACTCAACCAATACATTCTTATGTCCTGTATCCCTGTTTCAGTAATATCACCTACCTCTTGTTCTTTAAGCTGTTGGTACCAGTAACCAGGACTCTGTGGACGGGAATCAGCCTGGTACCCAAGGCAATCAATCCCGTATTGCTTGTCACCATATGAATGTTTGCTGTTTTCTGGATTTTGTGTATTACTGGTGATCAAAGAACTACTGGCTTGTGGATTCTTAAAAAAACAAAAAAAAAACAGTTAAATATAAAAATAAGAAGTTGTGTGATTGCCAATGACAACTCTCCACCAAAGACAAATTGGAGTAGAAGTTAACTACAGGTCACTGTACTGCCTTCAACAATGAGCAAAACCCATACCACATACTTTTTCTATATTTTAATATTTTAAAATTTTTGCATTGTGTATATATTTCTATTATTCATATGCCTTCAACCTCTCTGTATAAATGTGCATTTCTTCGATAAATAAATAAATAAATTGTTGGTCTTATACGAGCAAAACTGAGAATCAAATGCAAGTTTTCTGATATAAATTTCAGAATCTACGGAGGAAAATAGTGTCACAATTCTCTTGGTCATAAATAAATAAATTCAGATTTTTGAAGGTGCCATTTATGATCAATAAAAATTAAAAATTCAGGATTTTGTGGTTCTAAAATTACCAAACAGCAGATGCCCATCAAGTTAAGCTAGCAATAACTGATCGAAGTATCACACATTAAAATGATTTAATTTGCCAATATTTTTATTGTGATTCAAAGTTGACTAATTTGTCCGCCATTATTCTATTAAGGTGTTGATTATTCATTTATTGACTGGTTCGGTGATTTTTGTATTGTTGATTTTGAGGTCAACATTCTGTTTTGATTTCAATACAATCATAGGTCTTATCTATTCCGGAGGTTTTCTCACCCGTAAAAATTATACAGACATACTTGTCAAATGAATAAAACTTACCAAACTTTTTTTGGCAAACAAAAACATAGATATTTAAAATATGAAAATTGACGATAATTCTCAAATTAAAACTTATCTCTAATTAGCGCCACAAACAAAATCGGAAGCAACCATTAATTCTTGACTTCACTTTGTGAGGGGAAAAACTTCATTCAAAATGACCTTAAGTTTTCAATTTAGCATGAACCTAATCTCTTTAACTTGTATAATTATCTAGTGAATTTTGCACCTTTTAAAATTTGTGTTTGGTTAAAGTCTTTCATATGGTCATTTAAGTAACCTCAATAATTACTTTCATTGTACAAGTATATTTCACATGTATAATTTGAAATTAACATGATTGTTTGAAACATGCATCATACCTTATAACAACCAACCCTAAAAACAATATTCATAACTTAAATGTACTTTTAAAGAATTTTTCTAAAAAAAAAATATCAAAATAAAATTTTTCATAAATTAACTACACATAAACTATGACCCTAAATCCAATTAAAAACATGTTATGTGGTTCCAAAAATGACTAAAACATTTTCAAAATTATTTCTGAAGAACATTTTTAGAATGACTTACTATGTCAATGTTTAGACTTAGGATAAGAATACATGTAGTTCTTAAAATGTTTGAACGAGGTGGGTTTAAGAATTCAACAAATATTTGGGAAATTTGTTGATTTTTTTAAATTAAATTTTTGATACACAATGATTTCATTTAATTTGAATTTCAACAAGTTTGTCCTCATAGATAAAAAAATTGAGGTCAAAGTTACAAACAAGAAATTATTTTGTTTTTGTGTGTATTTTTTTAAAAGTATTTTAACAGAAATTGTTATAAACAAAAATGTAAATAATGAAGTAAGTTTCATTAGATTATAATGCCACACCCCTTTCTTACTAAAACATCTTTCTTGTTTATCTTTTTTCATACAGGTTAGATCATTTCTAATTAAAGATGTCAGGACAAATTAATAATTCACGAAATTTATCATTTAATTAGATCTGCTAGAAGGTCTATAGGGTTTCTATTGCATTAATTATTCAAGTTAGCATCTGTTTCCAATCCTAAGAAATTTGTAAATTATACCTTTTTTAACAAAATTGGTATGATGTTGTAATTAATATGTCTCTTTTTTATTTTCTAGCAATTTGTAAGAAAGTTGTTCTTTTTAATTCAATTAGCATTCATTTTAACCTGTATCACTCAAATTTCATCAGAAGTTAGAGATAAAGGTTAGTTTATTAAATGGTAAATAATTTTTTTGTATTGTTATTTAATCCCCACAGCTCAATCTGATTATACAGAAAATGACAAAATTTTGTTCAGACTTTGAAAACAATATTTCAAAAAAGCGGGCCTAAAATTACTAATGATTAAATCGTAATGCAACCATGGATTAAAATTTATCTTTTAAATTCAATAATATTTGTATAGAGATGAAAAACTTTAGCAATCACATTTTTCTCACATATTCCAACTCTAGGCACCACCCAGATTTATGACACACCAAAACGGGTCTTTAATTTCAATTTAGTCCCCCGCATATCTTCTGAATTATGAAATATTTTTGAAAACTTATATCATTAACCAAACAAACTCATGGTTGTATGTCAATTTCAGTATGAAATAGAAATAAAAGATGTAGATTTCATTATACTTCATATTTCCAATGCTAAGCATGGGAAGAAAAGCTTGTCAAGGGGAGGTAATTAATCTTATTTTGTCAAAGAGGATTAATTTTACAAATGATATAGCAAATAGTTAGCCTATCAAACTAAATGATGAACTATCTTATCTCAGGAATATTTTGAATATTGGATTATTATTAAAGCATTTATATCTTAACAAGGAGGAGCTAAGATTTCTTCTTTTTCACCAATTAATTTTAAGCCAGAAATTCTGTATTCAATCTTGACTGAAAGAATTTTTTATGATTTTTGTTTGTTCTTCACATTATCTTTAAAGTAAAGAGACACCCATACCCCTCCCCTTTGAAACTCCTTAGCACCCCTCCCTCCTGCTGACATTTCCCCTATGTCACAATAAAAGAATACTCACATCTATCATTTTTCCATCTAAAAATGTAATACCAGGATGCTTGGATGTTGAGAATGACGTAATGTTCGTAAATGTTGACGTATTGACAGAATCAGATTCTTCACTTAGAGAAAAGCTGACTTCTTTTTTGTTTTTCTTCTTCAATGGTGCATCGGAAAATTGTGAAGATTCTGTTGAGATTGTCTCATTATGGTTTGAATTAAACATTCGTTTCTCATACATTGTCTCTTGGTTATTCTTTTTCTGCTGACGATGACCCAGATCCAAACGCCGAATGACACAGATTGTTATTATAATGGCTGCTGATAGCACAATCGTCACGACGATGATGACTGCTACTATGACAACATTTGTTCCTTGTTCTTCTTTCTGTTTAACAGTAAGACTTGTTTCATTCGTCAAGGTCACAACGACATTGAAACGGAAGTAAGTTACATGTTGACTGTATCCACTGTCTTTCACAGAAATCAAGACTCGATAAGTATCAGAATCGTACAAATGCATACTTTTTGCAACAGATAAATTCCCAGAATGCATATCCAGTCTGAAAATGTTTGGATTATTTGGTGAAATACTGTCGATGCCATAGAGCAGACGGGCATTGTTTCCAAGGTCACTATCTGTAGCATTTACAGTCATGATGACTGTTCCAGCTGCAGCAGTGTAAGGAACGTAAAACGTATCGTTGTTGATATTTGGCATGTGTATAACCGGTGGGTTATCATTGTCATCAAACACATTCACAGTAACCTTCGCAGTTGAAGATAAAGGTGGATTCCCTTTATCAGTTACTTGGATGGTAAAGTTGTACTGTGACTGCACTTCTCTGTCGAGTTTACTGCATTTGATGACACCTGTATTTGGGTCAAGGTAGAACACATTTGGTGCTGGAAAACGGAACGAAAAAGTAAACTGTCCATTGGAACCCGCGTCGAGATCTTCAGCAGTAACAGTTCCAACAGTTGGTTCATTTTCTTGTCCTTCCAAGGCATTAAATATGAATATTGATTTTTTGAAAGTTGGCGGGTGGTCATTGATGTCTTCTAATGTCAACACAACTAATATGGATGACATTTGTTGTGGTGTTCCATCATCGGTGGCATTCACATGAAATCTCACTTCAGAGTCTACAAATGCTTCACGATCAAACACAGCATTTGTTTTAACTACTCCTGTTTCATTGTCAATGATAAAATTATCACCAGCATCTGTGTGTAAAAAGTACGAAACTTTACCGTTTTCCCCACTGTCCTTATCAGTTGCCGATATCTGAACAATTTCTTGAAAAGTCTCCAAATTTTCTAAAATTGTTGCTCTGTACATGTTAGTTTTAAATACAGGTGAATTATCATTCTCATCTTTCACATAGATAGTGAAGGATGTCGTATTTTGCTGTTGGGGAATTCCCTGATCTTGACAAGTTAATGTTATATTGTGAGATTTCCTGGCTTCGTAATCCAGTTTACTGCTGATTACTATTTTATACATATTAGTGTATAATTCTTCCAGTTTGAAATGGTCCCCTAAAATCTGACATAGCACTTTTCCGTTAGAACCTAAATCTTTATCTGATACAGACACTGTGGCAATATATCGCCCCACTTCTGCAGATTCTGATATCAGAGTGCCACCTGGTGGAAAGTTTGTGTTTATTTGAGGTGCATTGTCATTTATATCGACAACATCCACTGTTACCATGGCAGACGATGACAGGGGAATTCTCCCATGATCCACCACCTCAACTAAGAATTGATACTGTTTTTCCTCCTCGTAATCTAATCCTGCTATAACATAGATTTGTCCTGAGGTCTTATTGACTGCAAATACCTCTGTCACTTTCGACAATACTCTTGAATTAAAACGATAAGAAAATTCACCATTTTGACCAATGTCAGCATCGGAAGCTCTAAGTGCAAGGATAGGTGTTTTTAAAGCTGCACTTTCAGGTACACTAGTTTGATATGTTGGTTGTGAAAAAAGTGGACGGTTGTCGTTAAAATCAGTTATGCTCATATTTACTGTCAGTGTTCCAGTTCGCTGTGGAAATCCGCCATCACGAGCATAAATTTTCAACTGATAAAAATCCCTTGTTTCACGATCTAACTTAAAATTCACAATAAGTCCTAAATCAGATGATCCATCCAAATTTTTGGTTACATCTAATCCGAACATTTCATTTCCTGGAACAAGTTCGTAAGTTTGGACGGAATTATTGAACCCTGTGTCCTTGTCGTCTGCTGCACTAGTATATAATATATATCCCACAGAAACTGCTTCTTCGACTGTCAATGCTATTTCTGAATTTGGAAAGACTGGAGAGTTGTCGTTCGTATCCTCTATCGAGACATTTATCTGTATAATTTTGTAGAGGTCTAATAATCCATTGTTTGAATCCCTTTTATACACAGCAACATTGAAATTCAGGAAGCAAACTTTCTGATACGGACATAAAATTTCACGATCTAAAACTTGTTTACTATAAAGTGAACTGCTTGTTTCATTAATTTTAAAAAGAAGTGCATGCTGGTTTCCCTGCGTTAAAATTTGAAATCTCATACGACTAAATTCCTCCTGTGTAACATTTCCATAAAGTAAACTGTCTCGTGCAACATTTCCAACAAACGTGCCCTCCATTTGTTCTTCACGAAAACTATAACTGAGCGAAGTAGATTCCTGTGCAGCGGTAAAGCTGTGATACACGTCCAAAGCTAATAATAGAAACAACTGTCGAACACTTGAACTCGCCATGGTGAAGTTATTTATGACTGATGTGAAAGGTTGAGAGGATGATGAAAATGATTTGAATTAATAAAGTTATGCACAATTTATATAGTTCCACATTCACACTACATGTTGCGTTTATTCCATCCAAAGTGGTCCAAAACCAATCCTGCAAAATATAAAAATGAGGCATTTAATCTAAAGAGTCCACAGTATAAATAACCTATTACTCAGGCTATACAGAAATCACTTTATTTTACCTGTTCAATGAGAAAAATCTAAATATTTACCTAAAGTATCAAATATTTTTCAATTTAGTCAATTTGTTTGTAGAACCAGTTAACTACTTCTCTTGTATTCTGAAGTCAACAGCATGAAATGTACATAGTAGTGGGAGTGAAATATACAACTCCTTTGACAGCACCTATTGTTCATTTCTGACCAATCAGATTAGTCCATTTTCACTGACCAGTGGCCAGATTATGATAAGCTGGACAGTGAGTTTTTTTCATGCTAATTATCCAGTTAATTGACATGATCTAGTGGTCTGAGGGCCACCTGAGGGCTGATATGTCCAAAACATAAATATTAATCTCATCAATATATCTTATTTGAATGAGTTGTAAAAATTGACACATTTATACTATCTTAAACTGATTTCATGTATGAAAAATATAAAATTGAAATTAAAATTATGTTTTTTTATTTAATCTCAGAATTTTACTAAAATTTAATGATCTTTTTATTCATTTCAATATAAAATCTGATTTACATCTGTCATGTAGAAAATTTTAAAATGTTTTTCATCTGTCATGTAAAAATTTTGAATCATCTTCAAAGAAATAATAGATAATCTATTTTAAAAGCTTTGCTTTGATATGAAAATTAATTTCTTTAATTATTCCTTTTGATAATTTTCAACCTATGATCTACTGTTAAGTTATTGTTAAAATTAACTGAGAAAATAAAATTTTTAACCATATTTTGACCCTTTTTTTCATTTTGGAAAGCATGTGTTTTCTCTTTTTATTTGAGAAAATGTTTTGGTGTTTAAAATAAAGTTTTATTCTATTTTCAATTTGGAATGTCATTATTTGTTGCAAGTTTTGTGTTTGTGTTTAAAACATATTTTTATTTTATTTTCATTATAGAAAGCATGCATATACTTTTTTCTTGCAAATTGTTCTTCATAATTTTAGAAAAGTATACTTGTTTCTTCTTTCCTTTCTTTCAAACTTCACAAAATTCAAAATTAAGGAAGAATAGTAAAATGATTTAATTATTAATAGTTAAGGAAATATCACAAATAATAATACAAAATTGGTCAATAATTAATTAAAAAATCTGTTCACAGAAAAGTTGACATTTCGAATACTACAACTCAATGCTGTTGACAGAAAGTTCTCAGGACAGTCAAAGAGGGCTAAAGTAAATATCCTTCTGACTAAATTACAATGAAAACTCTGACAGTTTTTGTCATTTAATCCATTTACAGATATTTGTAAACAAAACAATGACTTGTGTCTACTGTAAACAATCAACAACATCAAAGAAATGTACATTCCTTGTCAATCACTCATTATATCCATTAGGGAAATTATCTCCCCTTAATGGATGATTATTTACTAACATTGTTTTTGTATGTAATTAACAAAGAAACATACATCTAAATGAATTTTTATGTGTTCTGAGCAAGCAAAATTGTTTGTAGCTTTATATCACTCATCAGAAATTCAGATATGCAGATGTTTTCTTTTCTAAATATTGAAAAGAAACATAATTTTTCTTGCATCAATTTCGAGACACAATATTTGGACTTTGCATTATAAAATGATTTTTTTAAATCTGAACTGAAATGAAAAAAAAATCTTTAAATCTATTAGCTCTGCCATTGAAAAGATCAGAATACCTCAATTTTGTCAAAGAAATTGCAAATGTAGCCATCTTTATAAAAGTATAGAAGTTATTAGGCATTTTTTATGTCGAACTTATTTTGTACTATTTTATTTCAATATAATATTTACTTTGTTACCCAACAATTGTTAATTGTGATAACAAGGATAATTCAGTCTCTCAAAACAAAGTGTAAATTGTTCCTTAGGATTTTCTTTTCAACTTTCTTGCAACACTTTCGCCATTCATAAATGTTTTTCACAAAAATGTCCAAGAGAGCACTTCTATTTTTTGACAGCCATTATGGATTAGATCACCTGCATGGTAAATTTCTTAATTAGACAAAATTAACCCTAATATGTCATACTTATCAGATATACAATAACAATACATGGTAATGAGAACCTAATTATTCTAGGGGTGATGAAAATTAGCTGTGATGACCTGGTGTGAGGATAATAATATACTCCCAGCATGAGGAGGGGGATAAGGGACGTATGGACCCTTTCCAAGCTTGTTTAATTCACCACTTTCTCCCAATTAAGGTGTCATAAAGAAAATCTCTCAATGTTAATTTCTATAGTCAACAACAAATTAATTTTCCTGTAATCACGTTAATTTCGTTAATTTCGCTTCTCAAGAAATAAACGCCAAACAAATGTCTAGCAGATCTGGGATTAGGACATATTTTTGTGATTTAAGGGAGAAATTTATCTGAAAATCATTAATACATGTGGAGATAGCAACTTGGATTTTCTGATAATTTTCAAGAATAGAATAGATTATTATGATTTTTAATTATGTACATGTCTCCTACACAAGTGCTTTACATGACTTTTTTTAGAAAGATTGACTATTGTTAGCTTTACGTCCAGTGGCAAATATTTCTAGGTAGAAAGAATCTCAATTGTGAAGAAAACTTACCTGTTGTATTTAATAGGGTTCTAGTCATAAAATTCCTAGCCCTTATGCTAATATTGCTAAGTTTTTGGAAGAAATTTAGTTATGCCTTGTGAATTTTAAACTTCAACCATATTGTTTAGCTGATCCTTTTCCCTACATTATCCTTATATCAAGTAAAGATCATAAAACTAGGATGGAATCAATAGGAATTTTTAGCAGTCATGTGCTTAGAAACATTCCAGAAGTGATCACAATATTAGGCATCTGATTAATTCACTGTAACAAAACATGGGCATTAATGCACTTTTTTCTGTCACTGGGTTGCTGACTCCCCTTTTTCAAAACATTAAATTAATGGTTTTGATGTCAGGTCATGTTTTTTCAGGTGAAGGTTGACAATAAACACTGAGCTTGACTAAAGAGTATTGCTATCACACTAAATATTACAATACATTCTTAAAGTACAGGAAACGCTCACCGTTTTGATCCCTCAAAGAATGCCTTATTTAAATAAATATAACTATTGTAAATTTTGAAAAAATCCTACCTGTTTCCCTCAAAACAGTTCCAGTAATCCCCTCAATATAAAATTTACTCAGCTGCCGATTTCATGCAGTCCATTTAAACACAATAGCCCAAATCAAAAGTTAACATTAAATCTTGAAGAAAAACAAACTTCTTACAATCACTCAGCCACTATCAAAACCAACAGATAATTAAAACATGATTATTGTAAGCTAGGGGATTAAAGAAAGGCAACCCCCAAAGCTCCATATTAGATATATTTACAATTAACCCGGATATTTTATAAATCTTATCAATCAACGAAGTAAACAAATGTAAGAAACTAGCGAGAGTTGTAGATATGGTTAAAATCACGAAAAATTTCCCATTGCTTGGTATTGATAGAATGTTGCCATATTGTGTATAAAATTGCAAAGAAGTTTATTAAACTTTGACAAACATTGTGTTAATATCTTAAGGTAGAGGTTATAAGATCCGACCAGACGTGGACAGTAACGCAGTGTCGTGTCCGGGACTCTGGTATGTCATCAACATTGTTCTGATAAACTGTGTCAAGTGGTTCATCATCTGTGTGATGTAAGAGTAAAACTATTTTGAATCTATAAAGGGAAGCAACTCTCTGTAGAGATTGTCTTTTATGTGATCTCTACCTGTACAATATTTGAGCCGAAACAATTGAAGCTTTTTACATTGCTGTAAATTATCATGCAGGATTTGCTTTCAATACTAGCTATTGATATAAAGATACCTACTGGAATTAAATTTTACTTCAATTTCCCTAAAAGTTACGAGTTTCTGTATTTATAGATAAAGCTTTTTTTTCAATTGAAATTAATAAATATACATAATGATCAGTTGCGAAAACATTTAAAAGACTGAATGTTTCAAATGATATAAATTACATAATGGAGTTCTGAAAAATAAGTATGATATATAGGTTGTGGCAACTCAAATGCAGCTGAATCATTCTGTTCAAGCAAGGCCAGTCATTATTTTAGTAATATCTTAAGGTGTACAGTTTTTATTTTAGGAAAGTGGCTTAATAGCATACTGAACAAAAATGAATTCACATATAGCACAGATATCCAGTATTTGTAGTAAAGCATTTAATTTAATGAATTTCAGAATCAACAGGTCCCGACATATAATGGAATTAAATCTATAATACATTTAAAATTATTTTTATCAAAAATCATTTTCTACTTTAAATCCATAACGAGCATAAATTAAACCTCAATTATCTCGACAGGGCACCAGTTTATGAGATCAGATATATTTTCCCCCTAGCCTCATGATGACAAGACAAGATAATATACTCCCAGGTTAATCCTGTTTCTGCCATCTTATTTTGTGATGGTGTCAACTGATAATACTAATTGTATGTAAATCATGTATTGACACCTATCCATATTCTTGTCCGAAAATATCAGGAATCAAAATTAAAATAAAATTGCAAAATGTATGAAATTTACCATATTTATTCTAAATGAACCGATTGTATATTAATGACTATGGTATGATTCTTTTTCAAATCTTTAAAAAAAGATACATATTTTAAGGTTTCTTTTCAAAATTTATCACTTGCCTTGAAAAGAAGATTTTTTTTATTCTACCTCGAAAAGATTAAATAGAGACATATGAAGAACAGACTAAACACCAATCTTCCCGTCATATAATTTCTTTAAATAATTAATTTCAACAAATTTTAACAAAAAGAGGAAATTTTTAATCAATTAGATATTTATTTATGACTGATTTACTATACATTTCAATTTTCATTTAATTTTTTGATTGTATGATAATTTTTTTTTATAATTATTTAACAATCAAATCGATCAGCTGCAAAAA